AAAAAAAAACAGAGGGTTCTCAAGTTCAACACATTCATACACTTGCCCTTTACTTACCCAAACCAGAAAGAATTTTTCAAAATTTGAAAACTTCTCTTTTTGTTCTTTCCAACATTTTCCCCTAATATATTTTCATTTTTCTTCTTGATTTGACATGGTGAAAAAATGAGTTGTGTTACAAATTACACTAGCAATAATGGTGCCACAGCTACCAAATTCATCAAATGTGTGACAGTTGGAGATGGTGCTGTTGGGAAAACATGCCTTCTCATTTCATATACAAGCAACACTTTTCCCACTGTATGTGTAAAGATTGGATTTTTATTATTATTTTCCTCTTAATTTTGGGTGTACCCATTTGATTATCTTGGCCTACTTAGTCACAGCCTATCTTGTGTGGTTGATTGATTGTGTTTGCTTTCTTGCTCATATGGGTTATCTTTTTCTTTGATTTATTTTTGTACTTGTGTATATTTTGGTCTGTGATTCTTTTGTAATTGGGTTCTATTTTTCTTGATTCAGGACTATGTCCCAACTGTTTTTGATAATTTTAGTGCCAATGTAAGTGTTGATGGGCAAACTGTGAATCTTGGCTTGTGGGATACTGCTGGTATGATCTTATATGTATGCTCCAATTTATTTATTTTTGTTCTGCATACATTTCACTTTATCTTGGTTTGTTCTCAATTATGTATTTTTTTGTGAGTATGAATAGTTTTCTTTACCTTGAAATCCATTTGATTTCTCTACTTATATGAAGTTACAATTTGTGGTATATTGTAAATTACATCCTTGTAACTAAATATGAGGCATTTTTATCTCGAAAGTGTTTTGCAATTAGGCTACAAAATACATCAAATTATGTGTTAACTATTGACCAAGAAGCATTAAGTTAGTCCTAAAAGTTAAATGCTTGATGGAATTTTTTCGGCAGGCCAAGAAGACTATAACAGATTGAGGCCTCTTAGCTACAGAGGTGCCGATGTTTTCATTCTAGCATTCTCTCTCATAAGCAAGCCTAGCTTTGAGAACATTTCGAAAAAAGTAAGTTTCTTTGGATAGATAGAAAACCGTAAAAAAATAGTGAAAGAAGAAGTGGGTAGTAGTCGATTAGTTAGAAACGCATAATCGAGCAAATTATGAAGTTTTATCGTATAACTTCTTGTATTCATTACCTCATTGGGAAGGTTACAAAAAGTTTTTCACAAGGTTTCACTTAAACTACACACACATTAAAAGGTTTGTATTTCTTACAAATAAATATTCTTGAAAATGTGCTTTTTTCTTTAAGAAATGCAGCATAATATTTTTCTTTCGCCTATTGCTTCGTTGTTTTTATTGGAACAGTGGGTCCCGGAACTACGACATTATGCTCCATCAGTGCCCATTGTTCTTGTGGGGACAAAATTGGGTAAGGTGTTTCTTGATTTCACATGATTTTCATCATTTTTAAGAATTATTTGGTTTGTCATATAATGTCACACTTTGCTTTCTTTTTAAGTTCTCTCCTTACGCCCTCTTAGTTTCTTTTTCTTATAATGCTCAAAAGGTCAACTAAAGCAAATCACCCGTTAACTTTTCCTTTCCTGATTCAAAATTTCAGTTCGAATTTAAATCCTTTTTCCCTCTCTTCACCCTTTACCAATTCTAAAAATCGACTTTGAGCTAAAGAGTGTGATTATCCCTTTGAGTTGATTTGATTGATCATTATATATAGATACATGTTGTTTTGAGCTAAAGAGTGTGATTATGAATTCGTCACAAGTCTAATTAAAACGTATAATGATCTTCAAGTTTTATATATAGATTATTATTCAGCTAACTTGAAATGAACTCTCGAATTTAAACTACTCTTCAGTAAAACCCGAAAACCACTTTATTCATTTATTGAGTTCGCAAAGTCGTAATCCTAAGTGCTGCAGATTTAAGAGAGGATAGGCAGTTCAAGAAGGATTATCCAGGGGCATGCATTATTTCCACAGAGCAGGTATATAATCCTAGTCGAAAATGTGAAAATATTATAATAAATAATAATTTCATGGCCGAGGAATAATTTGTCGTGTATACTCTAAACAAAAGAGTTGAAAATTTTGTAGTATTCTAAATTCTTGTTTTTCAGGGTGAGGAGCTGAAGAGGCAAATAGGTGCAGTGGCCTATGTTGAGTGCAGTGCAAAGACTCAACAGGTTCTGTCTTAAGCTGTTCGCTCAAAAGAATAAATGAATAAAAGACATATTGGCTTATGTTATTTGCAATGAAAATGCATCAACACGCGAGAACTAACCCGATAAATATTCATTTTTATATGACTGTCTAAAAAGTTGAAACACTTGAGTATTTTCGAAAGATGTACATGAATGTATATATGTAAATTTCTCGATGCAGAATGTGAAGGCTGTTTTTGATGCCGCTATAAAGGTTGTTTTGCGGCCTCCGAAGGTCAAGAAGCAGAAAAAATACAAATCTTGCTTCTTTCTTTAACTATTGAGCCCATTGATGAGATTATTAGAGTGTTTGTTTGTGGTGAAAAGTTCATGTTGAAACTTTGTTTGTTTCTTGTATAAAATCAAGTTTGTTGGTGCCATTTTCTTTGTTTTTTTTTTTTTTTTTTTTTTTTTTTTCTTTTTTTTTTTTTTTTTTTTTTTTTTTTTTTTTGGTTTGCCCTTGAGTTTCCTTTGTAATCTTTTGAATTAATTTAAATTACATAAACTCTCTCTCTCTCTCTCTCTCTCTCTCTCTCTCTCTCTCTCTCTATAAGATTGAAGTGAGTGAAAAAATGACAAGAATTGTTGTCTGATTATTATTCAGCAAGCTCAAATCAATGTGGGAGTTGTAGACTTGACTACATTGCTATAAATATATTAGTCCTTCAATTGTGAAATGTGTATCATACTCAATTGTGGGGAAGTTTATGTTTATTTAATTAAAGATCTAAAATATAAATAAATTCATAATCTTGCAACTCATCTTATTATACTATTTATGATTACATTGTGAATATATGTGAATAAGCTTACTATAGTTATTAGATCAATGACCTTTAATAAAGATGTTCACTTGTTTAAATTGAAAATATAATATATATATATATAAGTTTAGTACTTATTAGATCAACATAAATGACCTTTCATAAAGATTGCCCCTTAATTTAAAAATTATAACAGTTACATTAAGAAGAAAAAACATAAAAGAGTAAACATAACTAAATTTATATTTTATTTAAATGACCCATTTTATTATTTAAACACAGGTGAGAAATAAATAAAATAACAAACAAATAAATGGTTCTAAAAATTTAATTGAGTTGTCCGGTCCTGAGTCACCGGTCAGATCGAACCAGTCACTTGTTCACTGTGATCTTTTTGAAAAAAGAGAAGAAAAACCGCTACCAATGAATCGGTCAATAATCGATCTTTGACTGGTTGAACCGGTCAAAAAACGGTTGGTAGGTCCTTTTTTTTATTAGTTTAATATTTCCACACACATTTAAAATTAAAAGAATATGTATTTTTTTTATTATGTCATAAATTATCTAAATAGTGAACCATCCAACATCCTTGCATATAGCTAGAAAAAGAAAATGAAGTTCAAATTGTATTAAATTGCTTGCTATTCTCCAATTTTGTGCAATGGAATTGTACTAAAAAAAATCCTCTACATTACAATACATACATGGAATCCATAATGCTACGGTCCCATTACGTAATCATTCTGTCGGGTTTGTAATCATTAGATCACACGGTTACATATTCATCTAACGGTGACAAACTCGGATGGAATGGTTCCGAGACTTTTACCATTTCCCTACATATATAGCCCCATTTCCATTTTTCTCTCATTTTTCTTCGCTTCAATTACAGCAGACTGCTGAAAAACAAAAGTGTCGGAGAAAATGGCGACGCTGAGGAATTTGAAGATAAAGACATCGACTTGCAAGAGGATAATGAAGGAGTTCCATTCCTACGAGAAAGAGGTCCAAACGGAAGCCGCTAAGACCGCCGACATGAAAGCCAAAGGGGCCGATCCGTACGACCTCAAGCAACAGGTCTGTACTTGTTTGCCCTAATTTTCTGTCCCAATTTGTAATCCTGAGTGTTTTCTTGTTTCGATTCTGCTCACTCACTGATATGCTTACTGTAAGGCCCTTTTGGTTGATGTGTTTACATTTATCTGAGATTCATTTATTCTAGATTGAAGCAATTTCTAGTAGCTAGCATCTCTTCGATCTTCGATTTTCATTATGTTTACATTTTATCTGAGATTCATTTATTGTTAAGAAGGTATGAAGGTCGACCCGCCTAACAGTTAGGCCGCTTCACACAAGAATTTGTGATGCTGAAAATGTATTGTGTTGGGGTTACTTTTAAGGCTATTAACTTTCATTGCATAACATGTTTACATGTTCATAAATTACTGTTGGGAGGAGCTTTTAACCGAAATGTTAAAGGGTATTTGAGTTTTGTATATATTGCTAATGGAAGCTCTCATGTAATTCAAATTGAGGAACACAATACTGTAGTGTGTACTTGCTCTATTGATGGAAATTTTTGTGCTGCTTTATCAAATGGAACCTCGTTCAGTCTTTCCCTTTTTTTACTTAATATCGAACACTATTTTCTGGAGATGTAATTGTATGGTTTTCAAGTCCATGGGGAGCTATTGCTTGGAGTTATCCGATATGTACAACTTTTTTTTTTGTTTGCTCTAGGTCCTGTAAATGAGCCGAGCCGAGCCAAGCTCGAGCTTAGGGTGTTCTCGGCTCATTAAATAAACAAGCTTGATGAGCTCAATCTTGGCTCGTTAAGGCCTTAAGCTTGAGCCGAACTTGAGCCTTAACGAGCCGAGCCAAACTCGTTTAATTTAACAACATTACTTGGGCCTTGGTAAAAGTTCCTTTTTGATGTATATTCTTCAGGAAAATGTTTTGGCTGAATCAAGGATGATGGTTCCTGATTGCCGCAAGCGTTTGGAGGCTGCTCTTGCTGACCTTAAAGACACTTTAGTAAGTCGTAATGTCGTAAAATGAATATTTCGAATATTCAACTGGTGAAAATTCATGGTGCTGATAATTTTGAAAAACCTGATTATCGTAAGTAAATGTTAATGTATTTGAAAGAATGAAATCATGCAAGAAGTTGAGATTTAGATATACATTATAGATTTCGAATATACTTGCCAGTACATTGTGTGTTTCTTTTTCGGCGAAGTGCTTCAGATTGTGGGAACACATTCTTCTGTTTATATCGCATCATAATGTTGAGTGATAAATTAAATATCTTTTTAATAGATCTACTTTGGATTCTATGTTCTAAAACAATTTGGTTCGGTAGTATTCTCTCCTTTATATTTTGAAGTGATAGAAGATCTTATACTGCATCTCGAGTATTTTAAGAAACATATAAAATGCACTAATAAGATCTTATACTGCATATCGGACGTCTGTGGCTATGTATAGTGAAGAGATGTTTTTCATTCTCTCGATTCTCTAAATTGCTTTATTTATAACATAAATGTGATTTAACTGATGTTAGGCTGAGCTGGAAGAGTCGGGAGAAAAAGGAGGCTCGGAATTTGATGATGCTCGGAGCATAGTTTCAGAGGTTGAGCAGTTCTTCCAATCTTCAGAAGATTAGTTAGAAACCTTTGTGTGGTAATGATTAGATAACGTGCTTATTTTATGAAGTGTAAGGGACAGTAATTTGTATAAGGTACTGGTTTTTACCTATGGCAAAAAATCTCGAGTGAATTTTACATGGTTTATTGCAAGAATCAGTCGAGGTTGAAATCGGTAGCTTTGGCTATGTAGCTGCCATGTCATGCCTTTGATCAACGGGATGGTTTTCGCTCCTTTGATTGAAGTTGTAACATAATTTTTCATTATTTCGGAGTTTATCATTGTCAACTGTATTGTGATGTACTTTTATGCTCAAGCACAAAGATGAAACTTGAAAGATGAAGGTTGAAATCAATTCATATATTGGGTATAAATGAAAGGTAATAAAATGTGTCATCTTTGCAGAAAATGAGATTATGATCAAATACAGAGGGCTGAACAATGTGGATATGGTGAAAGATAAAATTAAATTCAAGTAACACACACAAAAAAACAATAATACTAATAATATTAATAATAAAAAAATAAAAAAATTAAAAAAATATAGATCTAGACTTTCATGGTTTGTATTATGAGCAACCAAAGTATGAATTTTAAATATATTCTTAAACTAAATTAGCAACAAGCTTTGAAGATAAAGCATCCAAAGTTCAAATGAACAAGACAATGGAGTATATAACTAAATTAGCAACAAAACATTTTAAAAAGTTTCATAATGGTTGTGTGTGTGTGTATTAACTTTTTGTGAATGTGTTTGTGTTCTATATATAGTTATATACTCCACTGCCTTGTTCATTTGATTTTACTATAGGCATCTTTGACTCAAAGTGGGAAGTCTACATATAAAGTTAAATTGACCTGCATTTAGGCATGAACTAGCTTTTAAATTAAATGGGCAGCTCGTGAGCTCGATTTGACTCGACTCGTTAAAGCTCGAGCTCGACTTGGCTTGTTCGATAGACAAGCCGATCTCGAGCTCATTTGATAAATGAGTCGAACTCAAGCTCATTTAAATATCGTTCAGTTAATAAGCTAATCTCGATAAGACTCGAAATTTCTATATTTCGATAGCTCGTTAATATTGATAAACGAACCGAGCAAAGTTCGACTCGTTACGGGATCGAGCTCGAGCTCGAGCTCGGCTCGTTGACACTCCTAGCATGATGTCTTGAATTGCAAAAATCGAAAATATTATGCATTCATATTACATGCAAACTGAAAAAGATGGTTTTCGAATAAAATCTTTACGAGACAGTATGACATCCACATTAGCTAAATTGGGCCCTCGATTATTAGAATCCATGACCTATCGGTCATCGTGAAACTTAGATGGTGTTTTGAGTTTCTCTTCATCTTTTTTCCATTCTCTTCTATACACACATTGATTTTGCTGTAGAGTCATCGAATGGTTCGGTTTATAAGGTCATTCATAGTTAACCACAAATTGTTTTTTGACACGTGTCCTGCAATAAATATACATTGAACACGTGTCAATACATATAATTATATATGGCTTCATAAAATAACCATCCGAGGGCTACATAGCATTTCCGACACACACATATATATATTTTTAATATTTGCGACATATAAGAAATACAAAATTACTACAAAATTACTAAAAAACCTCATTAGGGTTTTTTCGGTGTGCCGTACAGTCGCTCGTTTATATAGGCCTCATTTTTCTTCTTGCAGCTGATAGCTTCATCGTCTTCGAAACTTCAGAACCAGATTACCTTGAGCAGCCTCAGCAGCACAACAATGGAGCAGACTTTCATTATGATCAAGCCTGACGGCGTCCAAAGAGGCCTCGTTAGTGCCCCTTTTTTTTTTTTTTTTTTTCTGTTTGCTCTTTCTTGATTCCGCACTATCTTTAATTATTTGCTTTTTGCACCTTCAGCAATTTTGTCTTTGTTAATGTGTTTTCTCTTATGAACCTCGATGATTACTCAATTTAGAATCTGTTCAAAGATTAGACCCTATTCACTTTGTGTTGTTTTCTTTTAGCTACCCTTTTGATTTTTTAGGCTATATGATCCATTGGAAGAGAATTGAGGATCTGATTTTATGTTTCCTTGTGGATTCTAAGTTAAATTTGGTGATCTTTGTGTTGTTTTTGGATCGTTGCAACAGATCTAACATTGTTTGTGGTGTTGGTTTTGTGCAGGTTGGTGAAATCATTGGTAGATTTGAGAAGAAAGGCTTCACCTTGAAAGGTGCATTTTTTTCCCCTAATCTTTCTGTTCTTATTTATTACTTTATTGGTTCTCACATTTCTACTTTATAATGATAGTGCTGCTCGTTTGGGGTAATCGATGATTTACGTTTAACATTGCCTTTTGTTACACTCTTGTCTCTTGCTGTATGTTTTTCAATTGATTGTATAGAGTCACTCTTAATTAATTAATTTTCAGGTATATGATCTTTTTAAGCTTCAAGTTTGCATTTTTTTATGACCCGATTTTATGACTTAGTGTCATCATCTTGTATGAGCTTATAAGCACGATCCACGGTCATTTGGAAGCGTGTGTAAAGTGCGAATTCAATGAGGTTTAGAAATGATAAGTAGGTTAAAGAACATGTTGAGGTTTTACAGCAATAGATATTCAGTCCCTGCTACCGTCATAGTGGATATATGTTGCCGAGGGGGATAAGAGATTAGATCATGTGTCAAGGGGTTACCCATCATGTTTGTGCTTTACAAATCTTATTATTTTAATTTGGTTTGATTTCGATTTGGGGGTATTGATGATTTTACATTACCATTGACTTTTGTTCCCCCTCTTGTTTTTTGTTACGTTGTTGGCCTGTGTGTTTTTCTATAGGTTGTGTAATGTCACTCTTTAAGTAACTGAGTTTCAAGTACCAAGGTATTCTAATCTTCAAGGTTGCATCTTTTGTTAGATATACAAGTAACAATTTTTCTTATCAAAGTTGCATCGTTTGCTAGATACGCAAGTAATAAATTTGTTTTAGTTTCGTTAACATACAATTATTCAATCACAATGTCTCGGGAGGATATATTACGACTTGTTGGTGCCATCATCGCATATGATAATAAGTAAGCATGCATGGCCGGCTCGTCATTTGGAGACATGTAAGACATGAGAATTCAACTAACATAGAGAAGAACAAGTTGAGATTTAAAAAAATAATATACATATTCACTCTCTTCCATATTTGTGCTGATGGAGCTTATAACTTGTGTCATGGGGTTATCCACGATAGTTGTGCCTCACAAATCTTATTCTTTGCCTTTGATTCGTTTTGATAATTTGGGTAAACGAATGTAATACTATATACGTTCATAACCTTTGTATTCAGGTCTTAAGCTACTTACTGTGGACCGCGCTTTTGCCGAGAGTCACTATGCTGATCTGTCGGCAAAGCCCTTCTTCAACGGGCTTGTCGAGTACATTATCTCGGGCCCAGTTGTTGCCATGGTTTGGGAAGGCAAGAATGTTGTGACTACAGGCAGAAAAATAATCGGAGCCACTAACCCTGCTCAATCTGACCCGGGCACCATTCGTGGTGACTATGCCATTGATATTGGGAGGTAAATTTTCTCTGCCCCAAAAGTATATTTATCTTTTTGTACAGAAGATTAGTTCTGCTTTATCGATTGTGGGGACTTTTATTGTTGTTGAATATATATATATATATATATATATATATATTTACAGGAATGTGATTCACGGGAGTGATGCTGTCGAGAGTGCAAGGAAGGAGATTGCTCTGTGGTTTCCGGAAGGAATTGCAGAATGGAGGAGCAGCCTTCACTCATGGATCTATGAATAAATTTCAGTGAAAACTGGCCTACATTTTGAGTTTTAGTTGTGAGAACTTTGAATTTATGAGTTCATTTCCATTTTGTCATTGCCGAGACACTAACTACATTTTGGGTTGTCGACATTTGAATCGTGAGAAGTTTGGATTTTGAGTTCATTTTTCTTTTGTTTGTGGCTAAGATGTATCGTTTTCAGGAGTATTGTCTGCGCTTTCGAGATTTTCATGTGTCATTCATTATCCCCATGGACCCCATCGATTAAGATTGTAACATGAATTGTTGTGATCTCAAAAGGCAAGAATTTTGAGACTCTTGGGTATATGAAAACCCAAACCAAGTATACAAAGAATTAGTTACTGGTTAAGGAGAAAACTCGGGTAGGTTTTGTAATAAACTACTAAAATTGAATATCATTAGCTATTGAAAATATTTAAGATTGTGAAGATTTTAGATAAAAATATGATTAAAACTGATAGTGATACAACGATTTAATAATTAATAATAAATACTTAAATAGTTTGATACATAAGAGACACCCAAACTAACCATAGGTACATTTATAAAGTTCACAACTAAACCATGATCCACTATAACAATAATGAGATCCAAAAAGTCCCAAATGCCAACTTTATTCACTATATCATTCACATGTTTTTCTTTCATCAAACCAAGTCATATACATGTCCCCATACATTCTTAAAACCAGACAACAGACTTGTAGAAAACATTCTTAAAAAACCCACAAGTTTTCTTACCTCATGTAATAACATTTTACCTGTAATCTATGGCTCCACGATTATCTTCCCGGTGGCATGCCCGTCGATGCTCTTAGCCCACGCATCCTCGGCCTTACTCAAAGGGAACTTCGAGTCGATCACCGTCTTAACCTTTCCTTCTTTCACCAACTCGACCAGTCGCTTCAAATCCTCGCCTTTCGGGAAAAGAAGCAACGGGACGAGCTGCTTTTTTGAAAAAGTGATTTTCTTCACCGCAAAAGTCCACATGGCGGCAGGCCCCGGCGTGATATCGATCACTTTCCCGTTTTCGCTCAGATTCGGCTCGAAAACTGACCAAGGGAAAGCCGAGGCGCAGTGGACCACAAAGTCGTACTTTTTACCTGAAGGGCTCCGGAGGGCGGAACCTTCCGGAGTCTTGTAGTCGAGGACCTCGTCGGCCCCGAGGCTCCGGACGAGGTCGAGGTTGCGGGCCCCACATGTGGCGGTGACATGCGCGTTGCCGAGCTTCGCCAGCTGGACGGCGTAGTGGCCCACGCCACCCGAGGCGGCGGTGACTAGGATGTTTTTCCGAGGCCCGGTACCGTCGAGTTTGAGCCCCGCGGTCTGCGTGAGGGCCATGTGGGCCGTGAGGCCCGCGATCGGGAGGCCCGCGGCGTCGGGAGCGGGGACTTCTGGGGGCCTTGGTACGGTCTGGTTTTCCTTGGCTACTCCGTATTCAGACAGGCCACCCCCTGTCTGTTTTGTTGGGGTCGTGGAAAAAAAATTACCAAGGAAATGGAGAAAAAGTTAAAGTTTCAAAGATTATATAGGTTAATATTGACAAAAAAAGACCTTCAAGGCAAAAAATGCATTTTGAGTCATGTTGCTTTAAGTCATAGCAATTTTAGTCACAAGATTCCAACTTTTCAACTTCTTTTGGTCTTGTGATTTAATATTTTGCTGCAATTGCAATCCTGAGGATTGAAATTGCAACAAAATTTTAAATAAATAAGAGGACTGAAATTGCAACAAAATTTTAAAATTACATCGAAAATCTGGAAATTTGTTGCAATTTTAGTCTTGGAATTGCAGCAAAATATTAAATCACAGAACCAAAAAGCAAAATGTTGGAATCTTGGGACTAAAATTGCTATGGCGTTTAAGAACTAAACATGCAATTTTGCCTGAGGTTTGAGTTAAAGTAGCTGACAGCATCAAAATATCACAGCCTATTTCAACAGTTCCAAGCAAATCATAAAAAAAAGTTATATAGAATTTGATTATGCAAGCGGGTTAACTTACTGTTTTGGGTCAAAATGTAAACCGAACAGAAGTTTTTAAAGAGAGTTGGGTACTTCCTAAATACTCAGAATTCAGGGGTGATGTTTGTAAACATCCCGATTTACAAACACACTTTTGATAATTGTTCCTGGTCAAAAACAATAAACAGCAAAACTCAAAGTGGTATCTTCAGATGAGATGAGACATTTGTAATTTCTATGTTGCTCAAACCTTGAATATTTTTTTTTTTTTTTTTTTTTGCTTACACAATACAATACCAAATGGCGCAATGGATAGAAAGTTATCTGTATTGGGTGTTATATTTAGTCATATCGAGAATATATTTCACATATAACGTGGAGACGATCAACAAAAAGGCGAAAAAACATAACTAGCAGAAGCAACTCTTTCGACTCTTACAGTATGACTCAGCATGGCTACAACTTTGTCGCCAGGTTTGAAACTTTCGACTCCAGCTCCAACTTCCACTATTTCTCCAGCTACATCAGTAGCTGCTCCATGAAAATGACAACAAAATAAAGGTAATTTAAAAAGGCCTCTTTGTTATATACGTTCTGTCAGCATTCACAATAAGTTTTAATTCCATCATCTCAACCATATTAAGACACAAATCCACATTTTAATTAAATTTAACTCAAGAAATATTTTGGCTGCATGGTGAACCTGTATTCAGTAATACATCCACAGGTGTAAGCCCTGTATCGGACTGAATTTAGGACTAAATTCAATACAAGTGAAAAAATCAGAAATACAATCACAAGGCAGTATTACATCTGTTGAAGTGATTAAACATTTGACAATAGCTGATATCACTATAAAAGTCATTTGGTGCAGGTTTCTGACTAGAAATTTATTATAACACGAAGAAAAAGTTGCCGAATCCCATTGTAGCACAAGAAAACTCAACACAGTGGCGTTCCAACATCTTACCACATCTTTAGACAGATATATTTCAAGTTCAACAAAAAGCCCAATGCCCCAATCCAAAGTCAAAAGCAACACCATGCAGTAAATAACCATAAATGACCGATTATTCCATAACTGGCGCAAAGAAGTACAATGAAATTCACAACTAAACCCCACAACACAAAGGTCTGGAATGACAACATGTAGATGCCATAAGAAACCTTAAATCACTATTAATTAGCTTACCAGGTATAAACGGAAACTTTCGAGGAAGAAAAGGACGAAGTACGCCCTTCTGAGTTTTCCAATCAATGGGATTTAAGCTAGTAGCTTCCAACTTTAGCAGGACCTCACCCTTACTAGGTCTAGGAACTGGAACTTCAACGTGCTGTCATTAGGAAGTAATATAAACTTCATTTGGTTAGTAATTCACAGCCAGAATTTTAAACATAAATTTCATAAGTGCCTTCACCATATAGTTTCATGTGTTCTAACATATTACCGAAGAAAAATAATATTTTCTTTTTCTGAAATTCATGCAAGTTGGGCCGAATAATACGAAAAACGCCAGTCAAGATGTAATCCTAAATGTATGCAAAAACATGAAACAACCTTTTCACACCCATAGAAATATATGTACAGAGTTATATGACACCGGGAACAACCGATTTCTTCTCTTTCTTAAGCATAACAAAACATTTATAGATCCAAATCCCATTACATTCTATCTTAATAAAAGTATTAAAGTAGACAGATTTCAAACAAGTACCCATGCTTCATCTCTCTTGCACAGAAAAATTCCACCTTTTACTTCAGAAAGCTGTACTAATATTAGCAGAATCCATAGCCTTCAATATTTTCCAGAAAAAAAAAAAAAAAAACTTTGTTAATTTGTTCTTTTTCATTTTCTTGATGTAATTTCAACAGAGCCCAAAGTGGTTCCCAAGATAATACTGTACAAAACTACACCAACCCCTGAACACATGTAAATCTGTGGTCACATCATACAGTTCTTCAGTCAACTGATTTACAAAAAAAATGGGTCTTTACACAGAATAATTTATAGGGCACAAAAAAGATTTTGACTTTTCACAATAAAATATGGAGATTCAAGGTCCCATGTAAACATTTTCTAAAAGGAGATTAAAAGGGCAAAAAAAAAAGGAAAAAAGTGGAAATAAATCACCTTCAAACCAGCAGCTCCACCGCCATAACCCTCGTACTGAACAGCACGCATAAGCTTCCCCGCCATACCTTAATCACAAAATACTATAATTTCAACGAATATGGAATCAAGAGCATATATGTAAAGACAAAACCCACCAAAAGTTCGATTGAAATAGGAAAAATAAAAGCCCTTTTCAAGTTTTCACACCGAACGGTTTGAGTTTGACAAGTTTGAAACGGCGACGTGGCTGGTTTTCGGAGCAGTAGAACTGATGAGCGGCGCACGATTTTTTCGCAACCCTTTTTTTCTGTTACATTTTACTTCGATATTAACTGGTAAATTATATTGCAATGAATTTTTAAAGGCCCAGCCCAATACCCTGCATATGCACAGCCCAAATTCAAAGCCACAGTCATTGTAACAAATTCTATCTTATCACTGCAAAATGTGGCAGCTTAAATACTAGACTATCTATATATATATTAAAAGCCAACCTATTTACCAAAAATAGTAGCAAGAAAAGTCAATACACATTTAATGCATACTTTATTTGGAAATTTTTTACTATATGCATTAAATGCTTGCATATTTACATTTACTATCCAAATATGATCTTAAAGATTTTTTCCTTAAATAATTTATGCAATGATTTTGCTGATATCCATTATAATTAATATTTGTCGAGTAATATTTTTTAACCTTTATTTAATTATATAACACTAATATTTTTTTAAAAAAATTAATATTGTTTATTATTTAAAAGATAACAATCACATCATTAAATGATTTTATTGATGGTTAGATAATAAAATTATATTAGTTATTCTTTAAAATTTCGACATGTTATTTATTTGTATATTATTGTCAACTATGATAGTGTTTTTATCACTTTTTTTTTGTTATGTTTCAAAAATGAACTTATTGTAAAATATTTTTCTATTGCATAGTATGTTAAATAAACTATAAAGCCTTAGGATGAAAAAAAAAAAAGAATTATTATGAGAAATTGAATTTTAAAAAACATGTGTGTGTATTTTGTAAACATTTATACTTAAAATTTTATTTTGAATTTCATTACATAAAGAAGACTACTTCTGAAACTTTTATAAATAATAATAATTACATTATATGACTGTAAATTTTATAATAAAATAATAACTGAGTTTGATTCCTAGAATGAATATTACTCCTTCTGATCTTAGGGTTCCATTCAAGTTTCAGCTGCGGCAATTTCCACTTATGGTTTCGTATGCCATGACCATAAACAAGAGTCAGAGACAATCTTTATCCCACGTTGGTCTTTTTCTAAAGAAGTTTGTCTTTAGTCATGGTCAATTATATGTTGTTGTTTCGCGTGTGACTAATAGAAGGGGGTTGAAGATAAAAGTTTGTGAGAATGAGGAGTTACCCGATAATCAAACTCATAATGTTGTGTACAAGGAAGCTTTTGATAATATATGATTGTTTCTTTTTTCAATACTATTTTATTGTACAATTTCCTGTGTATTGTACAACTTTTATTGAATATTGCATTAAATTATAATACTCCTCAAATGAATATATCCCGTGTCTTGCACAGGTCACGTACTATATATATCTTGTACATCTTTTTTATTCATTTATATAATTATAACGCTGTATATATGGGCTTAAAATTGTGCACCCCGTGCATCGCACGGGCTCTGTACTAGTGTGAAAAAAAAAACGAAAAGTGTTATAGATACATAATATTGTACATGACTAATCAAAAATAAAAAATCAAAAGTGGACCTACTTTATGTGAGTGTTATATATATATCTATGTACATTTATTATGTACTTGTAGCATTTTTCAAAATAAATATATATTATGAGATGTCAATGTTTCTGTATCATTTCTATTTGAAAGTGTGCACACCGGAAAAATAATATATATGCCTAATAGCAACTTTACTACTTAGTAAAAAAAAAAACTATCATTTATACTAATAAACTAGTAGCGCAATGTTTGAATTTATCTTCGTATGTGTTTGTGAAAGACAACATCAGTCACACGATACCAACTCTAAAACATATACGTGTGTGTGTGTGTGTGTGTGTGCTTGCAGAGTTAGAATGGATCAAGAAGGACGAGAGACAGAGAATAAAACAGAGAAGAAAAATATAGAAAAAGGAAACAGAGAAAAATAGGAACTTCAAGTTCCACTAAAACAAGATTATTTGTTATCAAAATAGCAAAAGAGAAGAAAAAATAGATAATTTTTCATTTCATTTTTAATGCTCACTTCTCAATTCTGTTCCAGTTCGACGGAGCTCGTAAGTCTAGTGTGTTACAGATTTTGAGACGATCGTCGTTGTATTTTTGGTGACGATACGCCTGAAACGTCAGCATTACACGGGGCGTATTTGTTTTGCGGAAAGAGTTTTCTCGCCTCGGCTATAATCTTTCCTCTTTTCAAGCTCAATTTATTTTTTGTTATATTGTAAACTTTTTTATTTTTAGTTCATTTGTAAAAACTGAAAAATACACTTCAGTTCATAGGATTTCATAATTGAATTGGTTAAACTATTGATTCAATGATCACTTGTCGGATCAATAGTTGAACGAGTCGAACCGGTGTTTAATTTATTAATATTAATAAATATTATATTATTATTAATATGTATAGAACCGGTGTTTATTGATTTATTAAATTGGTTGAACGGGTCGGCCTTGCTCAACGGGAAGTCGGCCACCGTCTTGACACTTCAAATCCTCGCCTTTCCGGGAACGAATCAACGGGACCAGCTGCTTTTTCGAGATGAGCCCGATGGGCTGAGTGAGGCCCGCGAGCCTCCGCTTGTTCAACGCCATGATCAGATTCTGCTGTAGCCGTAAATCCCTATTCAGAAAATGCATAAATCGCAGGACGCAGAACCTAATTTGGTAACCTACGCACTGCTCCTGAACCCGCACCTGCGGAAATTCGATAAATTCGACAAAGTAAGGTCATTAGCTAAGCAAATGAAGGCATCTGGAATGATTCCCGATGCATTTGTACTGAATATGATCATCAATGCCTATTCCAAGTGCCTTGAGCTGGATGATGCTGTTCGGTTTTTTCGTGAGATGGGATTGTATGGGTGTGAGCCGAATGGATACGCGTATAGTTTTTCGGCAAAAGGGTTGTGTGAGAAGGGTAGAGCAAGTCTAGGGCTGGGGTTATTTGATCTTGATTTGAAGCTTTGCAATGGAGAGAGTGTTAGATGATGCTGTTGAGATCACATTTGACATGTTGGTAAATTCAATGGATGTCACATTTGCTGACATTGACGGTGGGTAGAGGCAATGGCGCGTTCGAGCTTCTTGGATGGTTTAGAAAAAGAGATAGTTTTATGAATGAGAAGACGTATAATACTCTGTTGGATGGACTGCGTTATCTAAATCATGATCTCTAGTTTGCTCTGGTTTATTCGTATGGTGTTTGAACAAACGAAACGAAGCGAAGCGAAGTGAAGTCGACGATTTGGGTCAGGTGAGGCTGGCATTATGAGCATCAGAAAGTGACCTGTATGAGATGAAGTCTAGTTCTTATATTTGGGGCAATGATTTTGTTTGACCTTATGCTTAAAAGAGTTTTCTGTATAGCCCTATCTCGGGCCAGGGACCATCTGGAAAATGTGATTTGTCTGTACTCAACTTAATCAGTTTTTGGTGTAGACATTGTTTTATCAGTCAGGGTTTTGGTTCCGGTGACTATGATCAACGCGTCACAGAAGATTATTGTATCTTGATATTCTTGTTTATGCGAGGCATATTAGTGGGATGTTATCTATGTGGAGACAATATACACAGCTCTTTTCTTGCTCGAGGCAGCTATTATCTTGAAGTTATTCCTAATGCAAGGTATCAGGTTGCTTATTATGTATTTGTCTATTTGATTGATGGATTTATAATTGCTATTAGCCACCTTTCTTGTCTGAGGATTGTGAAAAGTTTAATGCAGATCTTTACAGAGCATGCTTCTGAGAAGTTTGTAATGATTTTTATTTTTATTTTTGTGGAGACTATAACACGTTATTAGAATGCCGGTTTACATATTCTGAGCAGAAGACCAGACAAATAGCAGCTATAGTATCAGTTTTTACTGTATGTTTGTTTCAGTAACCTAATAGTCAAAGGGCTAATCATGCACTATATTACCAAAAAATGTCGAGTTTAATTTAATACAGAAACATTTTAGTACACAATCAAGAATGCCCGTCTGAGAATCTCAAAAGAAACCACTGGAAATAAGAGAACGATAAGAAAACCAAACAATATTGATTCAGTGGTTTTTTTTTTTTTTTTTTTTCCCCAGAAACAGCGCAGGCAATACTGTTTAATGAAATGAATAACTCAATTTTGCTTCTGCATATATATTATAGACTTTCACTGTAAGGGGTTGTTTCATCTCATACCAGAGCTGGCAGAGCTGGTGCCGTAATATGTATTACTATTGAAGAAACTACTCGACATTGTAGAAGAAGAATCTTCATTAGCTTTCCATTTTTGCAACACTTGCGGTAGGCTCATGTTTATATCAAGCCCCAGGCTATCCTCGTCATCCTCCTCATCTTCTGTTGGTTTCCATGACTCAACAAGAGGCGAGAGCACGCTGACAACATGGCTCATGTCGGGTCTTTGATAGGACTCTCGGGCTGTGCAGTGGCCCGCCAGCTCTGCCACCTTTAAAATGCTCAAGAAAGTTTCCTCGTCGAGGATGGAGAGGAGGACAGGGTCGAGGGCTGATCGGACAGCTCCTTTGTCCGGGATTATTCGCCGAAACCATGTGACGAGGTGGCTTCGTTCGTCCGTTAAGGAGTCATCGAGGGCCTTTCGGCCCGTGATGATCTCCATGAGGATGACCCCAAAGGCGTACACGTCTACTTTTGTGGTAACTCTTCCTGTGGCTGTTTTTTTTTTTT